AATATTGTTTTATTGGAAATTAAAGCACTGAGAATATCTAACATAGTTTGATATAACAAATATCATTAAACTATTATCTATGCAGTATATTAAATTATCATCCATTGTTACACATCACGCAGCTATTGGTATTCTTTTATTGGTTTTAATTACGATAATATTAATTTGATCATGTATTTTTTGGTATCCAGAAAATGTTGTTTTTATTGAAAAAATTAATTTAAATAGGTTAAATAGTATTAAGTTAATGGAAGTGAATTATTATTCTATTCGAAATTAAAGTTGAGAATGTCTAACATAGCTCGACATTGCAAACAAATGTCGAACACATATTTACGTTACACTATCATTTGATATAAGCTAGCTTCCATTCATATTCCTTTGAATTGCAATAAATCAGCAAAATAAAAGTTCTAAAAATGCATATTTTTAGTTTTTATATCGGGGGAAAGGAAATGAAACCTCGCGTGCATCAGAATGACCCGTCATTGAAGATAGCTCTGCAAAATTTATCGAATCGAGGTGGATTGCATCGGTTACAATTTGGTCAAAGTGTCCTCAACGGTTGTCCAATACAGGCACATCAGGAAATTAAAAAAGAAAGAAAAGAAATCTGCGTGTGAAAGAGCAGCCCAAAATTATTCGATATCTGGACAGCTCTCATTAAATATTTACTACTGCAATTATGGAAAGGCGTTCGTGTTTGGGAAAATGATACGGTTTCGCAAAGTCACAACATTTTTTTTTTCTTCACGAGGACTATGGAAACAAACAATGACCTGAATATCACCAGTTCTCTGTGCATGCTTCAATCGAATTCATTAATTAATAAATAAGATAAAACCGATTTTAGGTTAAACTTAGGATGTTTAAAGTCATTAGATAGAAATGATATGAAGCAACTGCCATAGAGTGAGGTTTTATGTTCTCGTTGTATGATGCATAAATGTCACGATAAAATAGAAATAGAATGCGTTAAAAAAGAATATTTTTCGGTCACATTTATTTAAGGTAGTTTTACACTTACTCTTTATGTTCACACATTTCCAGAAATATATTAAAATTTGCTTACATTTTGGGAACATATTTTTACAACAATTCCTAACTAACAGAGATTGACCAATCGGAATATTCTTTCATGTAATTTAAATGAAAAAGTAATGGGTTAGTTTTAATAATTTCCAGAAATGCATGTAAACATGCGCCTTGTTCTTACATATACCTTTTGTTTTGTTAATTCTTTTAAACTCAGAAAATTTCCACATATTTTCAACTCATAGCTATATTCTAGATGTCTTTTGGAATCGTTTGCATATTTAAATGACAGTTTTGTAACATCATTTTGCGAAATATCGATTTAAGGAAAAAATTCTGACCACAAAGTATGGGTAATGCTTTCATAAATTATAAGTATTAGAACCATAATATATTTTAAAAAAATACTATTTTCTGTTAACAGTTTTTTTTTTTCATAAAAAAAAATTGGCGAAAGAAAACTTTAACTGTCGTTAGGAAAAAAACTATCGTCTGAAAAATTTATTTGTAAATAGAACACAGTTTGAGCGGCCTATATAGCAGTTTGGAAAAGTTATTTTTATTCTTTATTCATTTCGATCAAATGAAGATGTTAAACACTATACTTTGCAGAGTTAATAAGTAGAAGGAAAAATTTATTCGTAAATGTTGTTAACTACAAAAAATGTTTCTTAAAATGAAATGTAAGTTATCTTTGATTTCTCGCAAGTTACATACTGTTTAAGGATAATGAAAACTAGTTTTATTAATTAAATTAATGTGTTATATTTAGCACATTTTTAATATTTATATTCTTAAACGTGAATGGTAAGTTTAACAAAAAGTTTTAAAGAAGAAGAATATTCAATTTTTATTTTTTTATTTTTGAAACATTGCACTGGAACAAAGTTTTGATTTCCGAGCTTCTTTAAATTATGTTAGAACATTTCTTTATGCAACTTTATATGGAAATAAAGCAAAATTTATATGAAATGTGCTAAAAAAATTAAAAAAGACGATGCAAAGAAAAAGTTTTGTTTTTAATTGTCTTGTTAAAGTTGATTTTTAAGTAATATAACGGATAAAATTCTAATTCCAAAACTTTCATGTACTACATAAGTTATCATGAAAAATTGAAGAAACTGCAATTTCCTTTCTTAAGAAAGTGTCTCAAAAATATGCTTGTACGTAAGCATCAAATTGAACAGGAATTTTTTATTTTCTCAGTTATTCTTGAATATATTTGTTTTGAAATCCTATTCGCATTATATTTTTACGAAATTAGGAACCCAAATAACTAATAACTTTAAAAAACGTATAATGCTTTTATAATTAAAATTTTTTAATTGAATTTTAATGATTTATGCATTCTTGCACTGTGTTGATCATATAAATTTTTAATTTTTTACGCTCTCATGCATTCGTCTATATCAGTAGTTTCCAACTATAGTATTTTTTTGCGGACAATTTTCGTAAAAAATCTTTATGGGTTTAAAATANATGCCACTATCCACATAAATCAATTATTAATCAAAAATCGAATATCAATTACTTTTCTTTATAATGCAATAAAATCTGGCGAGCAGCTATTTAAACGATCAAACACTTCGTTTGTTTATTTGTGGCTTGAAGTTAGGCTCGCAGAAAATGCCGTTCATGGGTTAAATTTAGTAGGAATAACACAACCTGTGACGTAGGCTATAGTATACCCAATTCTTTTAAACTCAACTGTCAGAAAATTTCCACATATTTTCAACTCACAACTATATTCTAGATGTCTTTTGGAATCGTTTGCATATTTAAATTGCAATTTTTTAGCATCATTTTGCGAAATATCGATTTAGCGAAAAAATTCTGAACACAAAGTATGGGTAATGATTTAATAAATTATAAGTATTAGAACTATAATATATTTTAAAAAATGCTATTTTCTGTTAACAGTTTTTTTTCCGAAAAAAAATTGGCGAAAGAAAACTTCAACTGTTGTTAGGAAAAGAACTATCGTCTGAAAAATTTATTTGTAAATAGAACACACTTTGAGCGGCCTATATAACAGTTTGAATAAGTTATTTTGATTTTATTTATTTATTTCGATCAAATGAAGATGTTAAACATCATACTTTGGAGAGTTAATTAGTTCAAGGAAAAACTTATTCGTAAATCTTTTTAACTGTACAAAAAATGTTTCTTTAAATGAAATGTAAGTTATCTTTGATTTCTCGCAAGTTACATATTGTTTAAGGATAATGAACACTAGTTTTACTTATTAACTAATTAATGTGTTATATTTAGCAAATTTTTAATATTTATATTCTTAAACGTGAATGGTAAGTTTAACACAAAGTTTTAAAGAAGAAGAATATTCAATTGTTTTTTTCTCATTTTTGAAACTTTGCACTGCAACAAAGTTTTGATTTCCGAGCTTCTTTAAATTATGTTAGAACATTTGCTTATGCAACTTTATATGAAATAAAGCAACATTTATATGAAATGTGCTGAAAAATTTAAATAGACGATGTAAAGAAAAAGTTTTGTTTTTAATTGTTTTGTTAAAGTTAATTTTTAAAGTAATATAACGGATAAAATTCTAATTCCAAAACTTTCATGTACTACATAAGCTATCATGAAAAATTGAGGAAACTACAATTTCCTTTCTTAAGAAAGTGTGTCAAAAATATGCTTGTACGTAAGCATCAAATTGAACAGGAATTTTTTATTTTCTCAGTCATTCTTGAATATATTTGTTTCGAAATCCTATTCGCATTATATTTTTACGAAATTAGGAACCCAAATAACTAATAACTTTAAAAAACGTATAATGCTTTTATAATTAAAATTTTTTAATTGAATTTTAATGATTTATGCATTCTTGCACTGTGTTGATCATATAAATTTTTAATTTTTTACGCTCTCATGCATTCGTCTATATCAGTAGTTTCCAACTATAGTATTTTTTTGCGGACAATTTTCGTAAAAAATCTTTATGGGTTTAAAATACTTTTCTAGTTAATAAACACCTAATTTCTTCGTTTCTTTGAAATTTAACATACCAACGGTGCAAAAAAAATTTATTTCTCAAGTTTTGTATCCAGGAAAATATTTATTCAAATACAAAAATAATCGTGTATGTTGCTCTTTTTTATTTCATTTTTTTGTATTTTGTGAATATAATTTAGCATGTGTGTATGAGAAATTTTCTCAACGAAATTCTCATATTTAACTTTTTAAAATCACTCATTTTGGACGAAAATATTTACACACACATTTGTAAATTTTAAATTTAAAATGTAAATATCTATTCTCTGGTGATTGCAGCAGACAAACCTCAATTTTTTTATTGAACATTTTGTGTGCTACTATGTAAGATTTAATACCAACCCTTTTAAAGTATCTCAACAATTAGATATTTGTTGCACATTAATTGTTTAATACATAGGTACACATTAAAGTTATCGCAGCCCGAATTTTTTAATATGCAATTAAATATTTTTAAAAATCTACTTCCTACTTTAATTTGTAATTCAATACCTTTGTTCTGTATAACCTGGTAAAAATCTGACAGTAATATTTAATGTTCCTTCAGACATAAAAGAGTTCTATATAAACTTTTGATAAAGCTGCGGCCCGACAGTCGATCTGTGTTTTTAATTGTGGCCCCATGCCCCGTGTAAGTTGGAAACCCCTGGTCTATATTGTGTTATTAGTTACAGTTCTCATGTTTCTTAGCAAATTTGAATGCTCAAAAATTTAAAGTCAAAGTAAATTGAATCCACATTTAAGACACACTAAGACTTTAAATATTGTACAATAACTAAGATAAATCAAATGTTTACTGTTTCATAAAATTTTCCTTTAAAATAGAAATTCGAAACACGTAGTTTTGATAAACATGTTTTCGAACAACAAAACTCAAACTTGATTATTTCAGTTTAAGTTCGGCAAATTAAAAGATGTGCGCAATATCGTTAGAAACAAAGAAAACTTACAGCTCTTACTTCTAGGTTCTCTTGGTCCATCTACAGTGATTTTGATCGCTTTTGTATAGGTTGCTACCTGAGGAGGATTCGAACTGACTGTAATCACTAACGTGAAACTTTTACCTGAAAAACAAGAAAAATGTTAGGTTAGTTCTTTTTTTAGTTTTCAAAAAATGACGTGGAAGATTATTTAAATACGTAAATTATGTAACCTTTTTTTAATTATTTAATCATGTTATTGTAATTTTTTTTATAACCGTCGTTGAACAGCTGACCCAATTTTATGGGTTTACGACTACTAATGTTCAACTTCGTAGCTTTGTAATTTTGAACCCAATCCAGAAGACAAGGGAACACCTGGATCGAGTATTGGGAGAAATTTACCTTAGTCGAGGACTTTTTGATGGAGCTAACCCGCATTTGCGTTACATGGAGAGGAAGACCACGAGAACCTCCTACTTTTAGTCTGACGGCTAGGGGGCTCTAACCTATGATCCGTCTACCCCTGGGCATATGTCACGTCAGCACTGTGGTCGGTGCAAGCCGGATGCGGAATTCGTTTCGTCTAGGATTCGAACCCGGTTAGCCTCATTGGAAGGCGAACGCTCTGTCCCCTAAACCATCGCAGCTCTTTTATTGTAATTTTGTATGATTTTTTTGAAAACCAAAAATTGAATTTTCAACAGAGTTCTATTTCAGTAAACAGAGATAAAGGTACTCAAAAATGGCTCAAAGCACATTACCAGCAAAAGATTGGCTGTTGATCTCGTGGATTATTTTTTTCGGTTCATTTTGGAGATAAGGATTTGTGTTATAACTCATAAAAATTTGGCCTCAATTAAAAAAATCTTTTTGTAAAGTAATGGCGTAAAAAGTCAGTAGTTCAAGAGCGACTCATAGCAGAAAGTTTTGTGACACGTTTATAGCTCTGTATTAAAGCCAGAAGTAGTAACTTAGTTGGTTAATATATTACTAATAGTAATGTTTTCATGTTTATTTGAAAGTTTGGTTGTGATATGTTAATCAGAATTATCGTTGTTTATTACATGTGTCTACGTTATTTTCTGTCACTCTGTATTTTATAATTAATTTTTTTTTTGTAAACTTCTTTTTGACGAAAGTAGATGCAGTATAATATTACTCGAACCATCAATTATATTAATTTTACATTAAAGAAAATTTATAAAGAACCAAGAGTTGTTTTCCGAGAGTTTCGCTCCTTTAACTGAACTCCGCAAAGACTTACATCTCTAGAAAACAAACAGCTAAAGACGAAAGAATAAAAAAATAAATAAATCACAAACAGCATTTTCCTATCGTAAAAAACTTTCTGCCCTTAAAGTTTCTTTCTTTGATTTTATCCTCACTGCCAAACTGACTGTAAGACCCGTTTTGCGGCTCAACTCCATGGTAATAAGACAACCGAGTCAAGGTTTGACTAAGGAAAAAAAAAAAAAAGAATCTACTTGCAGGCTTTTCCAACATGCGAATGTGCGAATCTCTCCTTTTTTCCTCCCCTCCTCTTCTTCTACCCCAAGATACGTTATGGGGAAAAGCTCTCTAAAAGTAAACAACGTCTCTAATCCCATCCTACCTTAAGTCATCTGTTTAGAGACCTGAAAAATCCCTGCCCATGAATATGTTCCGAACATTCTCCCTCTACTTACACAGTGACGCGTTTCGAATTCTCACCGTTTTCACGTATGTGCGGCTTACTGTTAGTCTAGAGAAAGAGCTTCTTGTTTGTCCAATAACTGTTTGAAAATATCCAGATATACGAGTCTCAGTTATGTTTAGTAAGAGATATGATATTGCTTTTTGTTCGTTTGCTAGTAAATTTTCTTTTTAAAAAAAAAGTTTCTCAATTTATAATTTCCATGTCGTCTGAGAGTAATTTTTCGTATTGTTTAAAAACGATATCAAAACAGGTTTTATTAATTAACGTTCTTTTGTAAATGGTATAAAATATAAATATGTGTCTTTATTTATAAAATGCATCAAACTGAAAGACATATTTAAAAAAAAATATTATTAATGCCTTCGATTTTCTGTCGTGATACTTGTACTAGAGTAAAATTTAATATTTAAAACTAAATATTTACTTAAAATTTAATATTAAAAGAACGAGGAAAGAGAGCGCAGAACTGTTTTTAAATATTGGCGATATTTGATAGAATTGAACTTTTTAAAATGCTTTTTTCTGAATTTAGGAAACATTACTTCCTTACACTAGAAAACACGTATTTTAAAAACTTTTAATCATTTTTGATAATTTTTTTTGTAACTTGAATATTAATAAATTTTCGAAAATTATTAATCTATGTAATTAAATGTATTATATTAGAAAAATTAAAAAGAAATTAATAATATAACTTTGCTGCTTGCTTGTTATNAAAAAATAAAAAAAAAAAAAAAAAAAAAAAAAAAAAAAAAAAAACGTTATGAATGTAATTTTCGCTCCGACAGTTTTTAAACTAATTAAAATTTCATTTTTAAATAAGTCAGAAGTATTGTATACTTCTCCCCATTTTTATACAAAGGTAAAAAATCTGTAGCTTTTTGATTTTAAGTAATTAACTTATATTTTTAATCTTTTTAATAACTCAAAGTAAAGAGATTGTCAAGAAAATAATTGCGAATTTAGAAAAAATTAAATTTTAATCAAATCAAAATGTAATGCTTTTTTTAAAAAAATATTAAGTTAATTATTAATATTTTTTTAAATATTAAGTATCCCAAAAAGTAGTAATAACTTTAATAAATTAATATTCATTGCAATATGGATTTTTCTCTCGATATTAAATAATCGTGAAGGCCATCGACACTCTTTTGGATATTCTACTTAACGTTACATATCGGTTTGCTACGCAAAAACTGTGGGTCTCAGAAACTTGAAATTACTAAGGTGTGTAGAAAAGTAGAAAAGTATACAAAAATTACTATGGAATAAAAAGAATAACATTCGATAATTGTTTTAAGAATGTAACTGTTAAACTTGTTTAAAAAATATCATGTTCTCCGCCTTACTGGCAGCAGGTATGCATCCAGGGAATGGAAATTTAGCTTGATGAATGGACCATATTTGGTTAGGTACTTAACACAGAGTTTTTTTTCTTTCTTAAGTTTCTAATTTGTTCTAAAGTTATTGAAATTTTAACTGATTTTTTTGCAAATTTTTTATCACTTTTTTTGTTTTACGTTACACTTTGCTTTGCTGCTCCAATTCTATAAGTTTTAGAAACTTAAAACACGAAGGTGTGTAACAACTGTACAAGGAGTTCGGTTAAATAGAAAAAACCTACAATTCGATTATTAGTTCGAGAGTTATTTACTATTAAAGATGTAGTAGCAAAAATATGTTGGTCGATCTACTGAAATGCAACTACAGAGTTAAAATTTGACGTGCCAATACATTAACAGTACAAACATTTTGAATTACAATTTTAACAAGATAATTCTTTTAAAAAAAAGTTATTATTTGTTTGAAAGTAATTGAAAATTTACGTGTATTGTCGTGATTTTCTCCCAGCTTTCTTGCTTTAAACATTGACTACTTATTCGTTGTTGTAGAAAATTTATTTTTTCCTCGCAGGATCTTAATTTCTTTTTTTTTCAGAAGCTCGAGTAGATGTCAATCAAAAGTAGCGTAAAAAAGTTTGAGATTACATGTTGTCAGTTATAAATCTTAATATTTATATCAAATTTTTAAAAATTAAAAAAAACTCAATAAAAAGCAATGAAACCCATTCGCTTTTTGAATTGCTATAAATTTCCTCATCGAGTAAAATTCTCTATCATTTATTCATTTTCTTATTGAGTATCACAATCTGTGCTCCTTAGGTTAATTTTTTTTCAAGTACAAATGATTATTTTTCAAATCTACTGTCCATTTCGTTACGATGAACACATTAACAAAATGTTCTTACATAAAGCTACAATAGTTGTATATTTTAAATTTAAAATGTTCTATGTTTTTGCGGAAAATACTAACGTTAAGAAGAAATAAATAATGATAAAAGAAAATTAATTAAGTGGTTGGTGAGCAGGGGCGTAGCTTTATAGTATAGTAAAAAAGTAGTAGTTTTTAATTTGTTTTTTTATTTGTTTTTTATTATTCTCAAGTCAATTTTAAAACATAAGAACTGTATTGAATTTTAAATTAACCCTTAATTGCGAAACGGCACATAATGTTCCCGGATAGTCTTTTTTCTTGATTGTAACATAATACAGTTTTTAAAAAAATTGCTATAGTAAATTGAATACTCATCCAATAAGATCCTCAGTAAATATCATTAAAAATGAATTTTAAAAAACAAACAAAAGAAAACTTTTGTCTTAAAAAATACGATTTAGTGTGTAACACTTTAAAAATTTACGGAACATAAAGGCATAAAATTTTCAATAACTGCTTAAATTTTATTACCTCGGAATTTAATTAAAACAAAATATTGTTCAAGATGTGGTGGAAGAACTTACTTTTTCTCAACCTTCAAACATAAATGCGGAAAAAATAAACGGAATAATAATGTTGAATTTTTGTGAGAAAATGTTTGCTTTCGTCAAGTAGATGAGCGAAACAACGTGAATACTTTCCTGCAGTACTCGTAGAAACATGATGAGAGAAAAAGCTAGTTCCCTGTTAGACAGGGAAGCCAAGTCAAAGAGCAATTTAGTCTTCCAGTTCCTATTGAATATGTTTTGTAATAACATTCAAATTTATAATTCTACGTAACTAGTATTGTATGACTTAATGTTGTTATAGTGTGAGGGGAAGGTGTATTTTTATGCAATGGCATTGATCATAAATAAGTGGTCATATCTTATACGGTTAAAAATATCCAGATATTAAGAAAATAATGAGAACTCAATCTGTGACTCTTTAATTGTAAATATTGCGTTTTTAAGGAGATCTCGAATAATCTAGAAACATTTTTTACCATTTGATAAAAAGGAAGATTTTAAGTGACGTTTGTTAACAGAAGATGAAAACAGTGGATTAAGTTACAAATTTTTTTTTTCCAATCATTTTGCACGCGCAAATATTTAGGCATCAATGTGCCCGTATGCTTGCAATGTACATCATTTGCTGCCTAATATAACAATGTTTGATCACATTCAGTATA